AAAAAAGTTTATTGGAGCATCATGGCCGGTTGGGGGGGAGGGGGTATTGCTGAGTCATGGGAGAAGGGGACCCATCCCGCTGGCCATAGGGGCCCCTAAAGTGCACTCGGTGCGGCAAGGGTGGGGGTGTTGCATAGAGAGTCGGGATGGCCGGTCCTCCTTGGCCCTCCTGCCTCTCCGCCCTGCTAAGGTAGGCCGGTCTCTGGACCGCCCCGCGCCCCGGGCTCGCCGCTGCTTGGGCTCACGAAAACAGCGGGCGCACGCACCTGCAGCGCCAGCCCCGGCTCTCGGCCCCTGCCTCCAGGGGTGGCCAGAGCAGCGCTGCCCAGGCGTGTCTGCGCCACTGGAATCTCATCCATGGACTCTGCTGACGCCGAGTGGTAGGCGCCTGCAGGTCCAGTGGCATGCACTGGGCTGGCGCCCGCGGAATCTGATGATGAGCTGGAGCTGCGACCTGGGCCCCTGGGCCCTGCATGGATGGAGGAAAATGTGAAACTTAGGGCTGTGACACTCTCAGGGCCCTACCTTTCCTTCCCTCGGAGTTCAGGATCTGGTCAGAAAGGGACACTCACCCGGCAGCCTGGGCAGCGGCGATTCCCGATCCGAGGTGCCAGACGTTGGCACCTTATACACACGCCGCTTCCTCTTTTTCTGCAGAGACATGGGAAGCCTGAGTGCCCCTTCCCCAAACCCCACTTCACCCAAAGAAGGAGAGGAGTGGGGCAGGGTAGAGGCTTCTTTCCCATACCCTTCCTCATGGGCCCAGCACAGTCCCCCTCACCTGGGGTCGGATCCGGGGAGGCAGAGTCTCTGGGGAGGAGGGTTGGGGGGGCTCCATTTGGCCTCGGGTGGCAAGGAACTGAGAAAGACTAAGGGGAAGTGGAAGGGTAAGTGCTGGATGCCCATTGTTTCCTCAAATCCCACCCCTCTGGATGTTCTGAAATAAGCCACCCTTCCTAGCACACAGAAAGGGGCACTGATTTGTCCAAGGGCATGCCAGGCTGGACCCAGACCTATACTTTGGCCTTGACCTACCCCTTTTCTCCCACCTTGGATGTCCCTGCCATGCCAATGAGAGATGTTCAGGTGGTACATGCCCAGGTTGCACTCACTTGGCATTCACGGTGGCAGGCCTGGCCTGGCCAGGGGGTTCTGGGCGCACATGGCTGAAGGTCCGCATGTAGAACTCCATCTCCTGGGGAAGGTGGGGGTCAGGGAGGCTGGGGCCAGGTGTGGATCCAAGGCCTTCTGGGTCCTGAGCCCACCCCATCCTGTATCCGACACCCCATCCTGTACACAATACCCCACTTCTCACTGGTCTCTGTGGGAGGTCTGGGCACAGAGGTTTCCGACTGTCCTCCAGGCTTCCCAGCTATGCTGGGAAAACCCCTCTGTAGGCTGAGGCTTAAAACACCCATTTCCGGGCCTTACCCCATCCCTACCATCTTCCTCACTTCATCTAGTCAAACTACCTCCTCCAGAGAACCCCCAGTCTCATAGGTCCAATGTACTCAGTCTGCTCTGCCAAGGTGGGTGGTGGGGAAAAGGCTCTCAGAGCAACCCTCTCCTACTTCTTGCTCCTCCCAGGGCTCTAGTCTCCCTGATTGTTTCCCTGGCTGGGAGACTGGCCAGACATTCATATGCTGGGGTGTGCACCTGAGGCTATGTGCATGACTGGATGGGAGCTGAGTCCTCAGGATACCAGCCACAATCTTAGCTACCTGGGTGGGGGAACTAGTGGGACAATGCGAGGTCTCCCCCACCCCAAAAGAGAAGGCAGTTAAGAGGTGGGAAAAAACAGCACCACAGCCCCCATCTGGGACCAGGCTTATGGGCAAGTTCTGTGTCTACTTTAGTCACTGATCCTCACAGTGACACTGTAGTGGCAGCACCAACCCCTGAAAGTGAGGGGACCTGAAGCCAGGAGGACACAGAAGTGGCCTAAGCCTGCCACCGAGCACAAAGGACGCTCATAAGGACTATAGGTGAGGAGACAAAAGCGAGGAAAAAGCCAACCCTGGTGGGGTGTGGAGGGTATAGGGCAGAGCCAGGATGATGCTGCACCCCTACCGGGGGGGGGGCAGGGGGGGCACCGGGACAGCTGTCGCCTGTTCAACAGTTGTTTCCATGGAGACCAAGGCGTCCTGACTAATGCAGAGATGACACTGTAACAGCAATGCCGTCTCTAAAACAAGCCTATGTTTGGGGGCAACGGCTCTAGAGTGGGGCCCCTCCCGCATTCCTGCTCAGGGTGGGGGTGGGGAGGCTGCCTTCAGGGCCCTGGAAGATCTGGGGGATAGAGCCCAGCTGGCCATGGGCTGCCTGCACAGATGCAGAGATTGAAGTCCAGAGTAAGTCTCATGCCCAACCAAGGCCCAGACTAGCCCTTTGTAAAGTAGTGTGGGGGCGCCAGCCTCAGGAAAGGAGCACTGGGAAAGAAGCGTTCAGAGGCCAGTCACAAGAACTAGAACCTCAAGGTAATGACTGGGACCTCACGGTAATCTGGCCTCCCCCATCTTTTCTCTTCCCCCAGTATGGACTCGGCACCCCTCCAGGGCCCAGCAAAGAGGGGCAAAGCATTTCTTGGTGCCCCTGGGCTCCAGAAGCAAGGCAGGGTGGGAGGAGCAGCAGTTAGAGGATGGTCCCAGAAGCCTGAGGGGCCAGGGTGGGACAGGAGCCAGGTCCTAGCCAGCTGGGGAAATTTGAGGGTATACCAGGGTATCCCCATTCAAACCCCCTTCCCTTCATCACAGCTGTCCCCAGGATCCTCTCTCAGCTTCAAAATGTGTACATTCCTCCAAAAAACTAAAAACAGAACTACTCTACGACCCAGCAATTGCACTACTGGGCATTTATCCAAGGGATACAAGTATGCTGTTTCGAAGGGACACATGCACCCCCATGTTTATAGCAGCACTATCAACAATAGCCGAAGTATGGAAAGAGCCCAAATGTCCACTGATGGATGAATGGATAAAGAAGCTGTGGTATATATATATATATA